ACAGTCACACACGGCTGGTAATTGGCCTTGTCTCACTTCTCCCTCGCCGTAACTCTGTCCTAAAAGCTATCCAATTAATATGCTAATGAGCTGATAAATATTTATGAAACATGTTGAATTATGCAGAAAGCTTTCAGAGGTCCGTGCAGAACTTCAAAGCGGCGCTCTTCTAATGAGCGACGGGGAGTGAGATTTGCATACGGCTTTAATCAGCTGCATACTGATTAACTTTCATTATGGATGCGGCACTTCTAGATGTAGTCTTTGTGTTTCGCTCATCTCGGTGTTCTCCGTCGGATGCGTTCGCTGTCGCTGATGTGCTACGTCCGTCTGTGATTGCGGAGTATCGCGTCGCGCGGCTCGTGGACACAGGTGAGTTTATCTTGATCAGATATTAGTGAGCTAAAGCAGCCGCCCTTCGCTCTGTTGATTGTGTTTTGAGTATCTGCTATGAAAGGGAATCACTGCTGGAAATGTGATGGTTGATTGATACGGTTCTGCGTTGATATTCAGTGTCTAATATTGTAGCTCTTGTCATCTGGCACTGGGTCATATGGCAAAAAATAGTATTTTTTCTGAACGTTTGAATTAAGATTTTAACTAGTCAGCTTAAAACTGCCACATGATTCCAGTAATATTCTCTTTATGAATCATCTGGTTAAAGAAAGTTTTGTTCAGTGTGGTGCAAACGTACAACAAACTCACGTGTTTGCAGAAGATATGCATGAAATCTTGAAGGCAAATACTGTATTTAAAACTATCCTATGCATTTAGAAATAAGAAAAATGCTAAATATTTAGAGTTCAGCTCTAAGAAGTCGAGGCGATTCAGACTCTTGCTGATTGTCAGTATAACAGCAGTAATAGACGATTACTGACAGTGAATGAAAGCAGCAGCAGCATTAAATATCATACATACAGTAGTAGTTCTGCACAGCTTTCTGCTTTTCCATTGCATTTCTGTGTAAACGGATGCGTTTGACCGTTGCGTTGCATCTCGCTTTTTAAAAAAAATAGTATATGTTAACAAGAAACTTTAAAAATGTATTAGTAAATGTTGAAATTAACACACTCTAAACTAGGAACAACACTTATACAGCTTTCATTAATCTTAATGTTACAAATGGGCTCTTATTGTAAAGCAGGGGTGCCCACTTTTTTGTGTGCGGATCTTCTTTTCAAATGAGAAACTCACCGAGATCTACCAAATGAAAAATAAATGAATAAAAAAGCTTGTTGGGATGTATCTTTATATTGCATTTAATTTTTAATTAAAAATAATAATAATTAAATAATGTTCAATTCTTAGTACCCCGTAGAACTGTTCCTGCATTTACCTGAAGCAGTGGTTCTCAACCTTTCTTACTCCAAGACCCCCTCCTCTCCAAATCAATAATGCAAGCCCAAACTTTTCTATTCACTAAAACCTTTGTATTTGTTATTATTACTTTTCAATTACATGCAATTTTTTTAAGCAAAACAAATTCAAGATAGATTTAAACATTCCATAAAATGTCACTGCAGATATTCTATACAACTTAAAAGTATGTAAAGCTCAATTACACAGTAATTTTAACATTATAAGCACAAGTCAACCTGCCATACCAAACAATACCACAGGGAGATGCCAAAGGACTGCATATAAACTACTATACGGCTCCATTCAGAATCACTAAACACACCAAAATACAAATGAAACCATTCTGAACTCAGCGATCTGAAGGCGGCTCGACGCCACAGTGAACAGATATCAGCTCGAGCGGCGCTCTAAAACTTTTGATTTAATCACCGAACGGGCAAAAGTTTACTTCAAGAATGAACAAAATGGCATAGATGAGTTTGAAGTTTGGCGTTTAAAAAGCACAGCAAATGGAAAGAAAAAAAGCGTGATCTTAATTTCAGCTCAATAAATGAAGCATACTTCATTAGAGCCACAGAAAGACAAACTTTCGCTGAAAAATGCACAATACACAATTTTACAGCCTAGGGTGAAGTCATTATGTACAGTACATTAATAGTTATTTGTGACAAATGTAATTTAATGGAAAGCTATGTGAATGGCACTCTGTGGCAGGATTTTCTGTCGGCTGCGTTTAAATCCGCATCTCTGTGCAGCGCAGTATTGCGTGTCAAAACAAACAGCACGCGGTGTCAGTGGTTTCCGCCTCTAGAGGGCGCTCTCGCTCTATAATGATAGTGAACCTTCTCAGCCGCTCCAGCAACGGACCTAACCTGGAAAACTATCGGCATGGATTTTTACCGATAACCGATAGTTCCAGCAATCGACTATCGGTGCCGATTAATCGGCAAAAGCGATACATCGGTCGACCTCTAAATTGTATTAATCGATAAAATGGCCCAGCCCTACTGTCGTCAGCAGCTGTTGTAAAATGTTGGCTAGTTGTAAAGAGATGCTCTGTTTTCTCTCTGCACAGATTCCAGCAGCCATCCAGCAGATCTGAGCAAAGGCAGCATGGAGAACGGAGCGCATGGAGGTGAGTTACGAGCTGCTGATTCATTGCATCTGTGTGTGTTTGACTCACTGATTGAGCCTCATGTGTTCATCAGCAGCTCAGGCCAACGGTCTGGATGGCCACAAACCGAGCGGTCAAGCAGCGGTCAGCAGCGTTCAGACACAAGCGCTGCTCCAGCAGGTACGTGAAGCATTGATTAAACACGCTTCTGTCGCTCGGAAACAGGTGGAGGAGAGTATGCAGATCTGTGCAGAATTTATATGCGCTGCATAACGAGGTTTCCGTTAACGAGAGGAGCGCTGGAGTGTACAGTGAGAATATAGAGCATCACACAACTCCAGTACGCTGCTGCTTTTAAAGAGAATAAATTACACATCTGTTATCATTTACTCAAGATGCTCCAACATCTTGAGTAAATGAAGACATTTTCACTTTTGGGTGAACTATCCCTTTAAGATATTATAATTGCTCAATTTGGCCTAGTTTTGGCCAAATTTGGTATAAATCAATCCCAAAATGCAGGTAAGGGATTGTAGCATAATACATTTTTTTTTTTTTTTAAATATAACCTGTTCTGCACGCTACACATAAAACTTAAACACAGACATGCAACTTCTTTACATGTAGATGTTTAACATATTTAATTTTAAGATATATAAGATATTTGTGACCCTGCAGCACAAAAGCAGTGTTAAGTCGCTGGGGTATATTTGTAGCAATAGCCAACAATACATTGTATGGGTCACAATTATACATTTCTCTTTTATGCCAAAAATCATTAGGATATTAAGTAAAGATCATGTTCCATGAAGATATTTTGTAAATCTCCTACCGTAAATATATCAAAACTTAATTTTTGATTAGTAATATGCATTGCTAAGAACTTCATTTGGACAACTTTAAAGATGATTTTCTCAATATTTAGATTTTTTTGCACCCTCAGATTCCAGATTTTCAAATATTGTCAGATCCTAACAAACCATACATCAATGGAAAGCTGATTTATTTCAAATATATTGACCCATTTGACTGGTTTTGTGATTCAGGGTCACGTTAAGATAACAGTCTTGCTCAGAAACTACATTAATGGACTTTTTTTTTTTAAGTTTCTCTTGGAATGTATTAGAATTTTTATAAAAAATGTATCTAGAAGTTAGTAAATAACTGTATTTTTGTTTTATTTTTGTCATATATTTTTGTGTGTTCATAAAAATAATATTGTTAAATTATTGTGCACAATTCATTGAACTATTGTTATTGCCTCTTTGTTAAATCTTATTATTCTTAAGTGTTTGCTATGAATACAGCCTTTGGTGCTGATATGGCGTAAAATAATGAGATTCACAATTTACAGTCAAGGTATGAGCTATTTACACATGCTAAAGAAATGAAGTCTAAACTGAATTATTCCTGAGAAGTATAAGCTTCAGACTGTGTGTTCTGTGGGTCTGCGCAGCTGTTGCAGACGCAGACGCAGCTCCTGGCCGCAGGTCAACAGAACAGCACCACTGGAGCCAGTATCTCCGCCTCCGCGGCCACGCCCATCACACTGTCCCAGCCCATTCAGATCGCGTCTGTAAGTGACTGACAGCTCACCGTCCAATCAGAGACGTCCAATTCACTGACACTCCCACTGCTGTCAGATCACAAGCGCCTGAGAGCGGCTGCTCATTCACACAATAATAGAGAGAAGCTGTTTATTCTGATGCCCTCTTCTGTTAGTAAGACATACAATACTGTTCAAACATGTTTGGGGTCGAAGAAATTATTACTTTAATTCATAAAAGACACATTCAGTTGATCAAAAGTAACAGTAAAGACATTTATAATGTTACAAAAGATTCCAATTTCAAATAAACGCTGTTCTTCTGAACTTTCTATTCATCTGTGAATCCTGAAAAATAAAATGTATCAGTTTCCACAAAAATATTGTGCAGCACGACAGTTTTCAACATTGATAATAATCAGAAATGTTTCTTGAGCAGCAGATCAGCATATTAGAATGATTTCTGAAGATCATGTGACACTGAAGACTGGAGTAATGATGCTGAAAATACAGCTGCGCATCACAGAAATAAATTACAGCTTAACAGATATTCACATAGAAAACAGCTGTTTTAAATTATGATAATATTTCACAATTTTTACTGTATTTTTGATCAAAGAAATGCAGCCTCGGTGAGCAGAAGAGACCGTTGTGTAACTATAGTATAGATATATTTTACAGTAAAACACATCAGTCATGTGCTTGCATGCGTCCATCTCTCTCTCTCTCTTAATTCAATTCAATATATGCTTTATTGGCATAACAATTGTTACAGTGTATTGCCAAAGCATAGTGTTAACATTGAATCTAGAACAGATATTTATGCAACAAATACATGCATCTCTCTCTCCCTCTCTCTCTCTCTCTCTCTCTCTCTCTCTCTCTCTCTCTCTCTCTGTCTGTGTGTCTCTCTCTCTCTCTCTCTCTCTCTCTCTCTCTCTCTCTCTGCAGCCGCAGGGCTTGAACCTGCAGCAGTTCGTTCTGGTCCAGCCGGGTCACTCCCTCAGTCCTCAGTTTCAGCCACAGTTCATCATATCTCCGTCTCCTCAGGGTCAGACCGGTACGAGCGTCTCCTCCGTCTGCTGATTCCTGCTCCTCAGCGCTGTTTCTAACTCGTCTGTGTGTGTCTCAGGTCTCCTGCAAGCTCAGAGTCTCCTGACGCATCTACCTCAAAGCCCCGCGCAGAGCAGCTTCGCCCTCACCGCGCAGGTACAGCACGCCCAGACTGTGATGCAGAAAACAGAACGAATCCAGGCGTACAAATGGAATGCACTGTAGGGCTGTACACATCAATAATACACATCAAAGTGCACATCTCAGAAATGATATTAATAATAATATATCATCTAAAAAATAATGATATAATCTTAATATATGATCATAATAATAATTAGATAATATTTATATTCATATAATTTATATTGTATATAAATATATTTAATATATAAACACATATTTTCCTTAAATATATACTGTATGTGTGTGTCTTTATATATACATAATAAATATACACCGTACACACACATATATATTAATCCGCGATTAATCGTTGCCCAGCACTCATTTAATTTTCATTTGATTAAAAGACTAATTAAATTGTTAATGTTTTATGTCTTCATCTGATTACCAGAAAATTTCAAATTTTGGTAAAAATAAAACAGGAAAATTCAATATTTCTTTTTTTTTTTTTTTTCAATTTGTTAAGCTTTTAATGACTTGTTGATAAATTCTAAGAGTTTTATGCTTTCAATTAATTAGACATGCTTATGCAACATTTTTATTTAGCCCTGTAGAGTCTATAAAAATTCAATATTTGAGGAAAAATAAAATGTGTTTAGTAGGACCTTAAAAATGTATTTTTTATTAAGCTTTTAATGAATTGTTGCTAAATTGTAAAAGTAATATGATTTCAGTTAATTAGACATGCTTTATGAATGCTACATTTGAATTTAACCCCATAGAGTTCAGAAAAATTATGAAAAAAAAATTCTGAAAAATGAAAACTGAAAAAATAGAATTTGTAAAAATAAAAATAAGATTTGCAGATCAGAACTGCTCATATGAATTTATTTTGTCCATTTATTTTTTTTAAACTTTTTTTTTTTTGATGTTTGAACTATTTTTGGATCTACACACCGCTTATCTACACAGTGTCCCTCACTGGAGTTGGGCTTGTGTCTGGTGCTACACTTTTCCAGTCTCTTCTAAAAACACACAATTCGGGATGAATTAAAACTGATTTCATAGGGCTGTACAGTTGAAGTTCTCAGTGTTGATGGAGATAGTGTGTGTTCATGGTGTTGCAGGCGGCCACACCGACGCGGAAGATCGCGGCTATGCCGGCTCCAGCGGCCGCTCCGAAGCGCATCGACGCTATGTGTGTGGAGGAGGCCAGCGACCTCGAGGAGCTCGAGCTGTTTGCCAAGAGCTTCAAGCAGAGACGCATCAAGCTGGGCTTCACTCAGGTGTGTGTGTGTGAGAGAGAGAGAGAGAGAGTGTGAGTGTGTGAGTGAGTGAGTGTGTGTGTGAGAGTGTGTGTGTGTGTGAGTGTGAGAGAGATAGAGAGTGTGAGTGAGTGTGTGTGTGAGAGTGTGAGTGTGTGTATGTGTATGTGTGTGAGAGAGAGAGAGAGGGGGAGACGGAGGGGAGTACGAGTGGCCAAACAGCGTGTGTGTGTGTGTGTGTGTGAACGAGTAGAGAGAGTGTGTGTGTGTGTGAGTCTGTGTGAGTGTGTGTGTGAGTGTGAGAGAGAGAGTGTGTGTGTGGCTATTTAACCAAATTTTGGGGACAAATTTGTACCCAAAAGTGAGCTAAACCTGACAAAATCTCATTTGTAAAACTGCTATAGAAATAAAGTAAACAAGTTTTTTTTAAATTGTAAAAATGCAGAAAGTTTCCTGTGAGGGGTAGGTTCAGGGGTAGGGTTGGTGTAGGGCAATAGAATATACGGTCTGTACAGTATAAAAACCATCACGCCTATGGAATGAACCCATTTAGATAGCTAAGTAAATGTGTGTGTGTGTGTGTGTGTGTGTGTGTGTGTGTGTGTCAGGGTGATGTGGGGCTGGCGATGGGGAAACTCTACGGAAACGACTTCAGTCAGACCACCATCTCCAGATTCGAGGCCTTGAACCTGAGCTTCAAGAACATGTGCAAACTCAAACCTCTGCTGGAGAAATGGCTGAACGACGCAGGTGAGAACAGCTTTCTTCTGCAGATCCAGAGTAATACCATAAACACAGACAGTCCCGGAATCGTGCTTATGCATTCATATAGTTCCAGAGCTGAGAGATGTGTGTAATATTGAGCGTCACTCACTTTGAAAACAAAACACACATGACCAGTTCTTGATTGAGCACACTTTCTCTGCGTCATGTCGTCCAGTAGAACAGTTACAATGAGCCCAAATTCAATATACTCAAGATCACAATTTAAGATATGGGTGCAAAAATGCCCTGTATAGGATTACGGCTTGTATTTATATTGTGTGATATTGTTAATCTGTATCACTTGAGCAAGTGTGCTGTTCTTTCTGAATATCTGCACAATTGCATGTTTATTGACCTGTTGTATAAAATCAATATCAATAGAGATTAATATTGTGAGTTACAGACAAAACATTTTTGCTAATTAAATTTAAAATGTTCTATTTAAAACAAATATCATAAGCAGATACTTTATTTTACTTTTAAGTCATTTAGCAGACGCTTTTATCCAAAGCGACTTACAAATAAGAAAAAGTAATTAAAACTAAAAGCTAAAACTCTATAAATACTATATATATATATATATATATATATATATATATATACACATTTAAGAAAAT